GAAGGCCGGCGCCCCCCCGGGAGGGGGGGGGGGGGGGGAAGGATGCGATTAGAGGGGGGGGCGGAAGAGGCCGGCAGGCAACCAGGTCAGGCACGAGCCAGGAAGTGCTGGGCTTACACCTGTGAAGCGGCCGGCAGCCTTCAGCCCCTGACCACTTCCCCCCCCCGAAGGGCTCAGCCCCCTTCTCTGCCTTTCGGGAAGCACTTCCGGGGAGCGACCTCTGGGGAATGTGGCTCATGTCCTCTGGCGCTTGTCAGGCCCTTCCTGTACTGCCGCCTCTATTTAGTGGTCCCCCCCAGGTTTTCCCTCGTCCTGCCACTCGCCGTCTCTTGGGCTGAACTCCGGACGACCTGTGTGCCAAGCGTAGGCCCAGGTGCTCAGCCCCGACCTCCTTCTGTCAGCCCCCAAAGGCAGCCTGCCCTCCATCGACTGAGCAGCAGCCCAGGGCCCGGAGCGCTGGGGGGGGTCCCACCGGCACAGGGGTCTCTCTCAACCCGTTACGCTGGGACGCCGGGGCATCGTGCCCTCCAGCCCCAAAGGGTGAGCAGGAAGCCAGGGCAGACGGGAGCCGAGGCCCGGGACGCAGGGGTGCGCCGGCAAGGGATGGCTCCCTGCCCCAAGAGCGGTGGAAGGGCCTCCACGGAAGGAGGCGCTGCCTCCCAGCCGAGCGGCAGAAAGAGAAAGTGCCAGGACAGGCTGAGTGGCTTTGTTTGGCAGCGTTGGGGGTGAGTCTCTGGACGGGGGTCTCCTGGGGACACAGAATCCTGTGTGAGCCGCCCTGACACAGGCGGCTCATTCATACACACACTCTCTCTCTCTCCTCCCTCCCTCTCTCTCTCTCTCTTCTCTGCCCTCCCGCTCCACAGGTTGGCGCTTGGGCGTTAAGAGGATCAGGCCGCCGGGCTGCCGTCTTCACCCCTTAAGCTCCCCTGTTATTTCTGATCCTCTAATCCCATTGGTACAAGGAAGGGGGCCCAGATCAACCGGAGCATTAAATAAGAGCAGATCCTCTGGAGAAAGTGCCTGAGGGTGCCAATCCCTGAAAGGAACCCGGAGGGGGGCCCTCCACCCCCCCACACACCCCGCATGAGACACAGCCTGGCTCAAGGGCTCAGGACACCCAAAGCCCCCCAATCCGAGGCACAAGGGGCTCAGCCCGAGCCAGGTGACGCAGCCCCAGGCCTGACCCCACAGGCTCTGCGTGCAGGCTGGGGAGAGCTGGGACCTCTCTGTTGGAAATGCCCACCATTCCCTTTTCCTGGGCCACCCTTTTCAGCTGGAAACCCTTTCACCCCACACGGATGAGTGGCACCTGAGAAAGGCCAGGTGAGAAGATGCACCTGAACTTCACAAAGACCCACTGATTCTGCTCTTGTAAACTCCCCCCCCAAATGCAAATATGCAAACAAGGGGGGGGGAATGAGCCCAAGGGAGGGACAGGAGGCGATGCCTGCTGCAGGACGGTCTGGCTTTGGGAGGGACTCCCTGGCTCTTCTGCACCCGCACGTTAGGGGCACTGAAGAGGAGGAGGGTGTCAAGGGAGCCCATCACCGCTCAAGGCCACGGGGGCTTGTTTGTTCACTGGTGCATGCATGCGCACACCCCAACCTCTTCTGTCGGAGCCAGAGAGGCCCTTCAAGGTTCTCCAGGACTCCAATCTGCTTAATTGAAACTGGGCACGAGTTTGCTTTGGTCTGTTTGGGCCTGGAAGCAGCCAAGAGCTGTCAAAGGAAGGTCTCGGGCGGGCGGGAGGTTGCTGTCGTGCAGGAGAAGAAAGGAGGCAGATAGACAGCCT